ACTATGTTACATCAAATTGGAATAAATTATAGTATTACAAGGTGGAAAAATTTAAGTATAAATATTGTTGAAACCCTCCTTGTGACCACTCTCATAAGCGACCAGTTCTAGTTATGACCACATTTGTAAAACTCTGTTTGAACTGTGACTTAAACGTTCTAACAAAAAGGTCTCGTAAGCGACTGCCCCTGAAAGTGACTGCAGTTCACTTTTGGGATTTGCCCAACTGGATTTTTCCTTTACTTTTAAGCTCTTGTAAGTGACCACTCAGAGTTTTCTCATAAAAATCAACACTTAAATGAAACTGCAAACTGAGCTGATGGTTTATTGGTAGAGATCTTGGGGTTATTTTGGTCCAAAAAATTGAGTTTTTTTAGCCGTGTCTATTTCAGATATCAAGACACTCATTAAACATTAAAATTTCTTTTGGAGAGCTCATTCTTGTAAGCTGAACTAGCTCTAGTTACAACCACTTTTTCAAATTTATGAGAGCAGCAGGCATATCCATTATGGCATATGAGAAAGATCTGGTTCTTCTTAAAACCATATGGGCAATTGGTGTGTCCCCATAAATGGTGGCCAGTTGTAGTTGCATTCAGGTCTATGTATTTGGTGCTTAGAGAGAACACATTGTAATGCTCAATGTAAACTGTGAAGTTATAATATTATTACTGACTACAACATTATTATTGTCACTTTCGATTATACAACTGTGACCATGCAAATACTGTACATCAAGAGGAAAGGTTATGAGATTTGATTAAAATGATCAACATTGCACTTGGACCACACTTGGCTTTTTAGGGTTAGGATAACTACTACAGTACATGAGGCAAATCCTCATGGCAATGTGTGGAGATCAGTCTGGGAAATTTGTATGTGGTTGAAGGGTCTTAATGGAGGTTACCAAGCAAACACAAGGCTATATGAAAGGAGAATTTAGCAGGTTTATGCTCTTTCCATGCCAAGCACCCTGCCTTTAAATTTCAACACATGTGTAACCAAATATGACAATCAATAAAGTCTTTAAGGTTATCTTACTGTTCTTGTAGAGATGGATGTTGCATGATATATCCAAGCCATGTGTCCCTGATTGCTTGGCGTTGCTCGTGATTGCCTCTAGCTGACAAGACTCCAATGACTAAATCATACGTTGGAAGGGCAGACAACTTGCCTTGATCTATACAAAAAAAAAAACAAGTTTACTCTACCATCGACCCTGCATTTCTCCTACAGAGAAAATTTGCCAGAAGGGGTTGCTTCAAATTAGAAGTTGCAGTGGGGTAGGTTGGAAAACTCATTAAGCTTGCATTACCAGATATATTTCTCGGTGTAAGCATTTAGTGCAGTACACGGAAAAAATTCCTGTTTAATTTTTGTTGTTTTGTTTTGTTTTTTGATAAAAATTTTCCCCTTTGGCTCGTTTCCGATTATTCTCACCACTGACCTCACCTTCCACTGTACAGCATAATTGCGATAACGTATTTCTAGTTTAATAATTTTGCGATGTATAGTAAAGATATTACTTGTTACTCTAAGTGTCATTGGAAACAATTAAGTTGGAAATGCTTTAAAAAAAAATCAAAAAAAGGTTTGAGACCAGCCTAATGCATGAAGCCCTATCGTGGTGAAGCCTTCCAAGGGGGGTAGCTGTGTCGCAATGTCGCTTGCTCTAGGAGACCGTTGTCGCCTAATCTACAGCTGCAAATGTCGCTGTCGTTTTTTGAAGTGTACGTAACTGTACCAGTCATTTTTGTTTTGCGAGAAACTGTTTCGCAACAGGGCTATAACAGGATTTTCATGGTGGTCAGTTGGCAAAACTTTTTTTAAACTTCGTTGGCTGAAACATGGAAAATCGTTACAAAGAAGGTGAGTCAATTTTTCTTCGCTTAAGCTGACATTTTAAGCGAGAAAACTCCGTATTTTGCAAAGCATCTTTTTGCAAAACAAGAACTCATTACGCGTGCAAGACTTCGTGGACAAGATTTTGCGACTGGTAAGAATTTCTCTTTTAATCAGTGCCATACAAAGAGTTTTGCGTTTTTTTCTAGGGAAAGTCATTTTATAAAAGCAATAGAAAACTTTTTTCCTGTGTTTGCATAGCCTGATATAAACACTCGAGGCGTTGGGAGAATTCTCGACGGTTATGCAAACCCTCGACTTCGTCTCGGGTTTGCATAACTGTCTCGAATTCTCCCAAACCCTCTCGTGTTTATATCAGGCTATGCAAACATAGCCTCCCCGCAGACGTCCTTTGGGGTTCGTTTGTCATGCGTGACAAACGAACCCCAAAGGACGTCTGCGGGGAGGCTAATGCAAACACGGAAAACGTTTTCTATTGCTTAAGTGAGCGGCGAAGGATGAACGCTTCTTCTTCTTCTTTAAGGGTAGGCTCCCGCGGGAAAATTTGGAAAATCTGAACCCTCAGAAATGCAATTTCCTGTATTCTGAGTCACTTTTATTGATAAAATGCACAACTTTCCAATGTCACCGTCGTTTTTCACTGTTTAGTATGTCGCTGTCACATTTTAGCAGCGTAGGCATGTCACTTCTCGCTTTTTAAAAATTCCCATGTCGCCAGTTTTCAGGGCCGTGTCGCATGTCGCTTTTACCCCTTGGAAGGCCTCCGTGGTTGTATGTCCCAAATTAAAAAAAAATTACTTTGTGCTTTTCATGAAGTATCTACAGAAATATGACTAAAGGTTCATACAAAATATGAAAAATCACCTTTCTGCGGTCTTTGAACAAACCCCTCATGGCTGAAATATTCTGATATCCAAATCAATTGGCAAACGATGCCCCCCAAAATTACAAGAAACTGACATCTTCCAGGCATTAGTGAAGGCCAAATGGATAAGAGGGAGACTAGGGACAGTCGGTCAGCGTACAAACAACTCCAGGCTTCATTTACTGTAAAACGAATTGTCCTTTACAAAGCCTTGGGATGAGTTGGTTTGCTTGGAGAAAATCGCGGCATCTGGTAAGCAAAAAGAAAAACAAACAAACAAACAACAGGGTATATTTTATAATCAAAACATTAAGATCCTTTTTGAATTCCTGGTTTGATGTAGAAGCTGCCTTTTTACATTTAAAATGATAGATAGAGACTCACGTGCTATCGACCTTGATGACCGTTTTTATTCGAATAAAACGCCCCGGCGTTTTTTCAATTTTTAGCGTTTCCTATGCGGCGTTTATTCAAGGGCGGCGTTTATTTCGAAATCACTTTTTTTAGATCACTGACAACAGTTATTGTAAAACGTTTGTAAATATTATGTAATTTAAAGGTTCCAATGTCTCCCTTATTTTGCTGAGATAGAATCGTAACTATCTGGATGGTGTAAATTAAGGACAGTTGTACCGAAGCTTTTCTTATTCCCCGAGTGAACGCGACATCCTTCTGTTAGGTGCGGCATTTATTCGAGGGTGGCGTTTAATCGAATAAATACGGTACTGACTTGTTGGATATTAGAAACTTTTAGCCTAATATAAGTATCTGTAAAGTATCTGTATATGTCGGTTCTTGATTTACAGTGCCGTAGCCAGACCAAACGGCCAACCGAGGCAGGCGGGAGTTGCTAGGGGGGTTCGGGGGCATGCCCCCCCCCCCGAGAAATTTTGAACTTTAGTCTCTCGGAAATGCGATTTGCAGCGTTTTCTGGGCCTTTCGGTAGCTTTTTTTCGAGTTAATTTAAGTGGAATTTAAAAAGCAATAATCAGAAACAAGCTACATAATCTGGGTGACCGTTAACCTCGCCAATGGTTTTGATCAGTATTTGTTCAAAAAAAATTTGGGTTAACATACGTAGCCCCTTGAGATCGATGATATGGTAATTTTTTCATAGTATTTTGACTGAATTGCTGAATTCTTTGTAACATCATGATGCGTTAAAAATATCCGATGATCGCTTATGTAAAATAAAAATGATCGGCGAAATTCGTCAAAATTTTACCAAGGCGAGTGCCTCGGTTGGCCTCATACTAGCTACGGCGCTGATTTACAGAACCCAACGTTTGTTTTATCATTTGTCGTTCCTAGTGTTTGCGACCATATCAAATTCTGTTAAGATCTCTTCAGATTCAAGCTGAATCTGATGGGGAAAAGAAGCTTGCAGGGATTTTAAGGCAAAATTTCAGCGCCTCTCATATTGCTGTCAAGGATGTTTCAGGTCAGTATTTTGTAAAAATCAATAGATGATTGCATTGTTATGTATCAAACTGCCATTAATTTTATCCTTATCAAATATCCATCCCCTGGTGTGTGAGTAGGAAGAGGGTCTCAATGGGGTTAACCGATAGGCGTAAAACGGCCAAAAATTTAGTGGAACATGGAGGAACATGGAGTCTTGCGCCTCTGGTACTTGTAGAAAACACCCACCCACACAAAAACCTACAGACCTGTTTGCAGAACATCTTAAACTGTAGGCAGCAGTTGCCACATGCTGTTTGAACTGATGACAGAGTTAGTAAAGCTTTGATTAAACTCCAAAAAACTCAGGTTATTGCTTGTTCCAATTTCAGGGGGTTGTGGAGCAATGTATGAAATATTTATTGAATCTGAAGAGTTCAGAGGGAAAAGACAGGTTCAACAGCACCGACTTGTCAATCAAGTAAGCTAACATCTTTGTCATTATGAGGCAAATTCTGTGTCCAAGTAGGAATAATAATCTTTAATGGTTTTAGTGTAGATACATGTAATCTATACATGTATACAGGTAGTTGAAGAAATACACCTTATTCGATGGTTTAGCATAATTTATAATATGTGCGGATATTTTGCGAGTTGCATAGCAATGAGCAAAATGTCCACTCGTATTATTATGCTAAACCATCGAATAAGAGGTTTATCATTCCACTTCAAAAAAATCTGTTATTTTGCAATTGGCCTCTATTTTTTGTAAGAGTATTCATTGAGCATCCTGATTCCGTCTTTGAGAATGACGTTACATGTAAGAATGAGCAAAATGTTCACGCATATTATATGCCAAACCTTTGAACGAGAGCTTAATTATTTTACTGCAAAAGAAAAATGTTATTTTAACTTCTATTTTCTAGTAAGAGTATCCAAAATATCGTGATTCTGTGAGCCATAGTTGCTCCTTTTGCATCTGCCGCTATTCGCCCTGTTGTAAATCGGTTAAACCAGGACACTACAGTTTATTAGGGCCTAGTATTTTGCGCATTCTCTTTACCTTATATGGTTAAATGACATAATAGTGGAATAATAAAGGTATTCATTTCACACATGTCCTTTTTTCTTTTTAGGCTCTTGCCGATGAAGTGAAACAAATGCATGGATTAAGGATCTTCACAGCAGTTCCTGGAGAAAACAAAAGCTAGTAAACAATCTTCAAGTTCAGACAAAGCACACAATATGCTTATTAAAACATACATCAAACAGTGTCACAGACTGGAGAGATATGAATATTGCAGCATCTTCAAGTGCACTACTCCCTTTTCCAAGTTTGTCTATTATTTGGTCTGTACAGACACAACTTTTGAGAATCTTTGGAACACATTGAAGTAAGACTGTTTTCTTAGTTTTCTCAAAAGACAATTTTATTCATTTAAGAAGTAGCAAATGATACCAAGGATGTACATCAATGCTATCGACAACTAAGGAAGCTAATCCTAAGTCTATCTGAAGTTAATGTGTGTAAAATAGTTTATACAAAATTTATCAGCACTTTTCACCTTTGTATGAATAAAATTTTGAATTTTTAAAAAGTCTCTTTTCAAAAGAGTTTCCTTTATTTCAGTTACAGTGTACAGGTATGTATGCAGGGCTGTTCTCTAGAAGGGCCCAGTGACCCCTGCTACCTAACTTTTCCTCTCGGGCAACAAGAAAATCTTAAGTAGTTTTTTCATACAAATCATATGCTGGGCATCCTAGATTTTACAGTTTCAGAGTAAATACAGCTGTTTCTCCTTGCTCCTTGCTCCTTGCTCCTAGGGACGTTTCGTCAGGAGGAAAGTCTGTGACTAAGTGACAGAAATTCCATACTGATAACATGAATCAATGTTGACATAATAAATCTAGTCACATGTGGCATTCCAAACGTAAAGTTGTTTGATTTTATGTTTTCTCCTGGTCGATTATGGTAAAGTTTTGTGTTCTACTGCGAATGAGGTACAGCAAAACTCAGACGCTTTTTCTAAAGAAGAATATATTCCAAGAAAATTGGCTTTTTTGTAGTAGATTCATGGCATTTACATTTTACCTCCGTGTGGCGAGGAGCAAGGAGAAATGGCTGTATTTGCAGGCTAAGCACTGAACTCCCTTCAATTTTGCTTAGAACACAGCCTTGGTATGTGTATCGAAAGTTGTAGAATTTTAACTTTTCATGGTCAATGGGTGCAAAAAGTCCCTCTTTTTCTCCAAGTTTCTCTAAAGGGGATTAAAGTCCATAAACAAGAGAACCAAGGAAGTAATTACTGTATGGGGTTACAATGTATTATGAATAAAACTGTTCACCTACTTACTATAAAAAAGCACCCCCCCCCCAAAAAAAAAAAATAAAATAAAATAAAATATGCGGTACGGAATAATACTAGAAATTCATTTGAGTTACTGATAATACAATAATTTTTAATTTATGGTTATTTAATAATTACCTTTAAAGTACCCATCACCTGAAATTTTATATTTTCTTATCTGAAACTAAACCTTATTAAAATAACTTCTGCGAAAAAATTTTGGGGCGTGAACAAAACGCGATTTTTTTACCAATTTTTGAAGTCTACATTTTTGCGGTACACCCGCGCCGCTGATCATGCAAACTAGCAGGCTCACATATGACATCATGTGACGTAAATTAAGGAACTCGCATTACCCAGCGGTACACAAAAAAGATAAATTACAAGTAAGGATTGAATCACAATGTCTTCGCAAGAAGAAAGTTTTTCTGAAAAAGAAAAACCTATCAGAACTCTTAATGTTTTCCTGTCGATAAGGTCACATGTTCCTTAAAGTACATCATATGACGCCATACTCCGAGAGAAGACTAAGATGAATGGTGTGCAAAAATGGCGGCAAATTTGAACATTTTAAAAAAATTATAAATAAATCCTCTTTGCTTCAAATCGCAAAATTTTTTCGCAGAAGTTATTTTAATAAGGTGTTGTTTCAGATAAGAAAATAATAAATTTTAGGTGATGGGCACTTTAACAGGGCATTGAAAGAGAAGTTTAAAATAATTTAAAGAAAGTAAGATAGCTATTTTTAAATAATTTGTACCAGATACACAAGTTTGTGTTTTTATTTCTGAAGGATTCACTCCATTTTTCATAAGTCTCAAATCATTTATGTGAAATGAAAATAACATTGTCTGCACATGTATGGCACTGGGTCATACATAGGTGCCCCCCCCCCCACCCCCCCCCCCCCCCACACACAAAAAAAAAAACAAAAAAAAAAAAAAAAAAACACAAAAAAAAACCAACACCCCACAAAAACAAACACAACCATCACAAACAAAACAAAACAACACAAACACAAAAAATTAACAAATAAAAATAACAAGAAACAAAAATATATTAAACCCCCCCCCCCCCCCCCCCCCCTCCCCAAAAAAAAAAAATAAAATAAAATAATAAATAAAAGGTGGGTAACCACCTCCCCCTCCCTTTGGTATAAACTTTTCCACCTAGCCTAAGAACCCTGAACACTAATAATACCTATATGGTTAGAGCAGTGTATTTCTGTGGACTATTAAAGTAGGGTTGTTCCTTGAATTATTAAAGAGTGGGAGAGGATCAAATTGTAATAACTGTACATCAGTAATAATTATTATTAATAATAAAAATCCCCACTTGGCTCTGCATGGTGCAGCAACAATGACAACTAAAGTGGGACCCATACACCTGTATATGCATGTATGATAACCAATATAACCAGGTCTTCTCCCATGATTCTACATTACTATAACTGGGATGAAGAATAGCAATCGTTGGAAAGGGGGTCTTCATTACAGAGGCCCTGTTAGGGTAAAATCTGACAAACAATGTGGCCCTGGAACAGCGACGTAAGCAAGACAAGATGAAATGGCCACAAACGACATAAAGATGGGTTAAATACCGACAGGGACATGGCCTATCCCTCAAAATGTGAAACGACCATATTTTAAATTCAGACTACAGACATGCGTACAACCCCCGCCCCCCTCCCCCCCTTCCAAGAGGGCCTTATCAAAAATGGCTTTACCAGTAATCTTGGTGCTCCACCTTAATTTTAAATACATCAAAACTATACAGGTGTGTTCATACTGCACTGTGAGCAGTCCCTTTACTATCAGTCAGGTCAAGGCCTAGCAATACTGAAGAGAGAATGAGCCAAAATGCAAGCAGGCATAGTCGCACCTAACATGCTTGTTCATTAGGGACTGAGTGCAACTGTATCCTGCATGGATATAACTCTGAAAAATACTATGTACAATAATAATTATTATACCAACTGCAAAGCTGTTATAATAACTAAACTAAAATGAAACTTTATGTTAACTGCCTTCTATGTGATTGTACAGAGAGAAATAGTGTTCTTTAATCATCTTCATCTCTTCTTTGATGCTAAAAATGAAGAAAGAAACATACAAAGTAACTAGTGAAAGCAATCAGCATTTACAATTTTATAGTATGAAATCAGTGAAAAAAGATTGATTTTACAGTGTGCCAGTACACTGTACATGCAAATGTGTGTTTCAAACTTATGAGTCAATTCTTGTGGCAGCTTAAACACTGTATGCATCTATTATGTATTTGATAATAATTTATTATTACTAATTTTTATGCCCAATCAACAAAATGCTAGATTTACATTCATATTTTACCTTGAAAATAACGGTTTAAAATGGTTGTGAACTTCTTGCTTTGTAAGTTCCACTACTTCTTGCACTGAATACTGAAAAATGAAGATAAAAAGTGCACAATGTTATATTTAGTCCATTAACAAAGATGTTAATCACAAAAAAGGTTTATGGCTACACGTAGATGTAGCTTATGGCTGAATTCTTTAGCCTTTTAGAAATGTTTATTAAGAGCCAGCATTCCTGAAAGAAGTTTGAGGCAAAGGCCTCGAACCAATATGAGAGAGATGCTTGAGTAATTTATTATTATTGTTATTTTTTTTTTGCTTATATCAAAATAATTATAAATTAAAAATAAGAGATCAGCCAAATATTTACCTGCACTAAACTTGCTTGTCGTCTAAAATAACATTTCCCTTCTTCATCCTCATACACTGGGTGAAGATTTGGGCAGTGTTGACCTTTCTCTGTTTTCACTTTTGGTTTCCATGGAAACACTGTAATTTCCACAACATAAAGGGGTGCGGGCAAACCCTAAAAGATGTCCAAATTGTGTAAGTTTGCTTTTAAAAAGATAAATAATCTGGAGAAAATTAAAAAAAGGTGATTATTTTGTAGCCTAAGAAAACTGGTTTCCTATCTACTTGAGTCTGGTTTCCCCTTGAAATGACATGAACGAGTGCAGATTGAAGTTTCACACTGATGTCACACTGAGTAGAACTGGGTTCTAGGTAGTGCTTTAGATTGGTCATGCCATGTGCAAGAGAAATTTGCTTCACCCAATCCGAAGCTTTTACTCAGATCTAGTTAGTAATACGTCATCAGTGTGGCATTTCTGCACTTGTTTGTCAGATGTCATTTCGCAGGTGACCAGTGAGCAGTGGTGTCACAACTTGTTGGCCATTTTCTCAGGCTATTTTTTTTGAGGCTAATGGTTTATGAAAATGTCAGCAGAAAATTGAAACTATGCTGCCAAAGTAGCTAGTGTTTATGCTCAATCTGCTCTTATAGTAAAAAGCAAATTATAATGATAAGTTCACATAATGACACTTTCAGAAAATCCTTCCCAGTAATAATTATATTACATGTACAAGTGTATTAATTAGCCACTTTTCACTTTTAAGATCACAGGCTTCTGAAAGTTTTAAAAAGTGAAAGGCAACCCAAGAGACTGATGGGGAAATTAAGTTTCTATTTGACCAGACTCACTTTGGAGTGGAAGACTGTTAACTGCATGTATACACAGTTCCAGCCTAAATGAAATGCACAGATTCATTGCATGTTAGCAGACTGTTATATCACTAGTTCAGAGTGAAACAGACTTTGGATGCTTCAAGTTTCAAGTTACAGGTCAGTTCACTCACTTCATTGAAGGCATCTATAGCTTCTCGGTCACACCAACAGTATTCTGATGTTCGAAGAACGTGAGGTCTGTGTCGATTTGTAGTCTCCTCATCATCTCTACACACAAAAAAATAGACATTACATGTACAATTTCAGTAGGTGGAGTTTGATCGTCCAGGGGAACGTAGGTCCTGAATAGGACTATTGTTGATGACAGTGACTGACATTTCAACAACCTGTGCAGTAGTCATCTTCAGAGTCAAAGTGAGTTGTATCACGCCAGTTGATGTTATTGCCCCTGCAGGGATTTCGCCCAGAAGGCGAAATCCCAAAGAGGCACCCTAGTAACTCGCGCGTATATTAAGGAAGTACTTACAGTTGAAATATACAGTCATACAGTCAATATAGAAAAATCTCGATTTGCTTGAACAGGGGCCGGGAGGAATCGGTAGGTAATGATGTTGTTTCTACTGTTTGCGCCCACAAGTATGACATGGTTAGGATGACATAAACACAAAAAATCCCAAAGGAATAGCTTACAATTGATAGATTTTGTGACATTAATTGTGCAGTCACACTTCGATACTTTTTGCGTTACGTGTTATCAGTGACATTCTGTGGAGCAGTTGTTATGAAAGTTATGGACCAAAAGACACTCGTTAAGCGCAGATGAAGTTGTAACGTGCGTAGAACAGTGTATATTTTAACACTAAGATTGGAAACCTTGCCAGACACTCTTTCTCTTTCTTTGACCGGAATAAGACTCGGCCCCAAACAAGCAAGTTAAGAAGAGTGAATGATTCAACGGCTAGCTTATCACTAGCAGAACGATGGACGATTACAGAAATTTGCCGACCATCAAATTCTGTGCTGACTTATTCCCTGCTCACAGATGTCCTTCCGCTATAAAGTTTAAAATAAGACTAGAATGCGCAAGCGTGAATTGATCAAACGTCCTTTCAATTTCTAAGGCTTACTTTCCGGCAAATGAAATGAACTAAATGTAAAAAGTGAAATAGAAATAGTGAAAAATAAAACTTCTAACTAAATCTTTTCTTATGGTTTAGAATAAACTATTCTTGAAACTGAGAATGATTATGTTTTGATCAAAGCTGTGTAAATCGAACCGAAACTGTGCATGGAACCTTGCGTTTATTTCCTGTATTTATCTCACCTATTGTATGGAATATGTGTGAACATCTTCATAAATCGGCATATTTCAAAGAGCTACACAAGGAGCAAGAATACTATATACAGAGCGGGGGCAGCTCTAGTGTCAACTATTACTAGTTGTACTCTGGTTATTGATCGGTCAATTACGTTGCGATGTTATTGGTCGTCTGTCAGTTGAGCTGTGATGTTATGGGCTATGAAGACTCGTAATCAGTAATTGGTGCGTTTTGTACAGTAAAATCAAAAAACAGAAAAGGGAAGTTCAAAAGTGTCTCTCTAAACATTTATAATTTTGTGCCTTTTTAATTGTACTATGAAAACATACATGTGATTCCAAACACTCATTGTTAAAGACTCCATAAGGTGGGTACTAAAAAAAGGAATAACAGTTGTTGCACATACATACATACATCACAAAAGGTGAAAATTTACTGTAGTGTTAGTGTATTAAAATCCGAGGTAGCTTTCAATTTAATCAAGTAAATATATGTACATGTAATTCTGCGATGGGGGAAATAAATGGGACTTTACAATCATGCACATGGTTTACAGTGTATGATGATGTGCTTTTAGTAATATCACCAATGCTAGCAGCCTTCATTGCTATAATATTAATGTACTTCTAAATAAAAAAATAATATTAAGCGTCATACATTTTTTTATTATCTTTAGTCAGGATCAACAGCTTTTTACAATACGATGTAGCAACTAGGAAAACCTTGGGAGACTATCTTATCCTGATTAACCCATTCGCCCCTGAACCGCCCGTAACCGCCCGTGCGGATCCAGGTCCTTTCTACCCTTTGTGACGTCATCAGTTTTAACGGTCAAGGACAACTTTCTTCGCTAACTTGTGCAGAGTGAAGAGATCTTTCAAACCATACCAGAATGAGCACAATTCAGTCAAGGACACCGGAGAAAGAAGCAAAAAACCACGTGACAAGGACCTGAAAATCTCCATGAAAATCTTGTTCCATTACCCACCTACCTTTCCTTTCACCTAATCCTAAGATCCTAAAAGCTTTCCTAAAAACTCTTCCCACCAAAATGAAGCCTACTAAATGCCCAGCAAGAGGAAAAAAAAATGAGGCAAGAAAAGCGAAAAAAGAAGGGAAGAGAGAAAGCGAAAAGTAAAAGTCAAGACTGCTGTGTCACTTTTAAACCCAAAAACTATGTCGAAATTTTGCTTTCTGCGCATGCCCGAACTTCGCAAGCTGATATTTTGCATCTGGATCAGAAGGCCGCCAAGTGTACGACCTGTAAACCGGTTTGTGGTAAGTTTTAGCTCTTTATAGCACGACAGTGACCAGAAAACCACTCGACTAGCTTCAAAACGCGTTTTTCGGCAAAATCCCCAGGAGCGAATGGGTTAAATCATAATGTTTTCTTTCATTGTATCGAGATGTGTCCAAATCAAAATTGATTAAAACAAACTCAGATGCAAGAAACTGACCTGTCATGTTGGAGCCGAAGTGCTGTCTCAACATTACCCACTTCCTCCTTCCTTATGACTGGTACGATTTCTACCTTGATTTGAACCAGAGAGCAAATAAGAGTTAATAATAATTAATTGTTTTGACCAGCTGCATTGACAACATTAATTTACCTCCGTGAAAAGAATCAAAAGCCTTCATGGAGTGCTAGCCCTAAACCAGATCCTGATTTGTCACTTTTTTGGGGTGATTGATTGACATTAGCGAGCTTTAGCAATTACAACAATGACAGCAGCAAAATATCTACTGTAATTGTAGTATAATCAGTATCATGTACTGTACATATGTAGTATAATAGTAAGATAATACACACTGTATGTACTGTAGTATAGTAATTAATAATTGACTACATCTGAATGTGTTACATGTATGTACTTTGTAATATTCTTCTGGAACTGGAGGTGTGTATCTGCTTAGTGCATCCTTGACTGCAATAATCACATGATCCTTCTGAATAAAGACAAGCAAGGACAGAACAAGTATTTGTTTAGAAATCAATATTTTTTTGTACAGTAAATGCACATGGTAAAAAGGTACACCCTTTAAAGTGACATGAGAGTAGACGAAAAAATTGGTGACCACTGACATACACAAGATGGGTTAAATACCTAACAGGAACATGGCCTTCCACTCAAAATTGTGAAACTACCGCATTTAAAATTTACACAAGGGTCATACGTACCCTCTTCCCACCCTAAGAGGGCCTCACGAGCCTGCACATGAAAAGGAGGTAGTGGTGCGGCACGGCAGTGGAGTGGTCAAAAAGGACATGACTTGTGTCATGAATAAAGAAAGAAGCTTTTCCACATACCACTACCATCAATATAACCATCAGATTGGCATGACATGAGAAAGAGCCAAATTTAAAGTACAATGTAGTTTTGACTAGGGTTCTGGGATATATAAGGCTTTCATTGTTCCCCTCAACAGAGACTGTTGGAGAAGGATTGATGAATATGACATTTCCTTCCTGAATCCCCTCACATGGGGAAGGGGATCTGATGATGATGGCATGATATACATTGTCTATGTCACAGGTCAAAATTAAATAATTCAGACAGATTTTTTTTACCCTACATTTACACTGTATTCTCAATTTCCTTGGTCTCCTAGACCTAACTATCCATGAATTAGGGCTAGGGGAAAAAGGAAATTGAGATTCAATCTAGTTTATTTTAACCTGAATATAATTTTGACCTGTAATACCTTGTCCAATATGTAAGTCAATATTTTACCTGGTAAAGTGTCAAGTTTAACCCCTTGATGCTACCATTATCCACAATCCCAAGATATATTGTGCCACCTTTGCCAGTGTTCAGAAAACCATTAATGTTTCTACCAAAAGAGAACAGATACAATGCAATTTTCCATCAATGAATGATTTCCTCATCAAACGACATTCCAATAAATTTCCCAAAATACAGTGTGACCCCCCTTACCCTTCCCACCCCAAAAAAGTGATTTATTGTTCTTTGACACTCCCTAGAGCTACTCTGGTGGAAATTTACAGATTGGTTTCATATAACAAATGCTTCAGATTTTACAAGACTTTCACTTCCCATGGAATTGCCAATGCCTTCTATAAAGGAGAACTGTGACACAAGGAAATACACGTGGCTAAATATCATTTAGGCAAAGTTAAACTCAAGCGAGTTGGTCAGCGGTACGTCTTCTCCCACTTCAGTATGTGACCTACGGGGAATTGCAGGGCTCCTTGTGTGCCCTTTTGCTAGTGTTGCTTTGCATTGTAGCTTTGCTTGCTGATCGTAGCGGATCAAATTTTGCCTTCTTGCGAATCATTGTGGATTCTTGCTGCTTCTCCTCCTTCCCTGCCTGGTGCAGGTTTTGTAAGTATTTTCTCAGGTTAGTATTCTCTTAGGTACACACATCTGTACAATGTGAGGGTGCCGGTTAGTGGCCGCTGTTGGGGTGGTTCCCGCTTCCAGGGTTGCCATGGATACCTCCTCTCTGCTTATTGCATTTGGCCTCCTACTAATCTTTAAGGCACCTGCTCCCAAGCTCATCATTAGCGATGAGTTTAAATGAAGAAGTACATGAACTAAGCTTCTGCATGACTACCAGGTAGTTGGATGGAAGTATAGTGCATGTATGTTCAAGAACAAGATTTTTATTGGAATTTTTTGGGTCAACTTTACATGTTTTTGTTGTTGTTGTTGTTGTTGTTGTTTTTTGCTCTTTCCTAACCCAGCTTGTTTGACTCAGTCCTATTGATCTTTGGTAAATGACGGCAAATTTTGTTATTGTTTTGTCTTTATGGTAATTGATCCTCGATGCCTCGTTTCAAGGTGAAATTATCTTTTTTTAAAAAATTGAAACTTTTGCAAGTGCAATCGAGGCAAAGCGGGATTATTATCATAAATATAAAAGGAAAGTAGTACCGCGGCAAGTTTGGAATAACGTGCTTGAACTTTCATTGTGTTTGACGATCACGTGACAGTCCATATTTCCCATCTACTTGCAAATTGTCTTCTACCGAATGATCACGTGTGCATACGGCAGCTACATTTTTTTTCTCCAATTTTAATAGTTATCTCTTCAAAGTTTAAAATGTCAGAAATAGCAATATTAAAACCCCAGTCATTTTTCCTGAACGCTAAAAATCTTAGCTCACCTTGAGACAGCTTTTCTGGATCGCCTGTCTGTCCCAGGAATAAAACACCAATGCGGGATTTCCTCTATTGAAATATTCCTGTGACCTTTAAATTCATGTGTTGTATCTTCTTCGAACGGAACAACTGAATGTAAAACGTAAAAACGACGCGAAACTTCAGAGAAGCGAGTCATCTTGAAGCGTGCGTCAGTCCGCCATCCGCCATAATGGTTTCACCCCTCTCAACCCCAGGCCTCTGTGAGCCTCGCTTTCAGAATAACTCGCCTTTCACGATTTCCTTCCATTCTTGGTGCCCGCCATATTTCCGAAGGGTTTGTTTCTGTTGTTGTTTCCACGGAATTTACGGTCTTTGCTTCGATGTTTTTACGAATGTAATTACACTCTTCTTTCCTCTACCGATCGAGGAAAATAATTACGAAGAATTAAGAGGAAACAATCCTCAAGTAAAACAAAGAAATCGCGACTATCCCGACTGATCAATCAGGAACGACGCCGGCGGCTTTTCGCTGAAGAAGTCGCACTGCTAAGAAAAGAACTCAAAAACTAAAAAAAATTCAACGACGATATACGCACGTTTAATCTTTAGGACATTTTATCTGAGCTGGAGCCAAAGAACTTTACTTTGCCTGAAAACAGCGTCTTATGATAGAACGCTGGTGAAACGAATGGCGAACACAGCTCGTTCCCGAGTCTACTCGGATGTCAATGTTCACCGTCCAAGAGAATATTGGGATTATGAATCTCATGTCATAGAGTGGGGGTAAGTAGTCATTTAATTTTTAACTCGTTTTATACACACTTTAAAATGAAAAGGTTTTGAGTAAGAACTCGCCGTTTCACAAAGTTTTCTTCCTTGAACCAGCTTGCAGATCTTACTTGGTCTTGTACAATGACATGCAACGTGCTGATCATTATTTTATTGTTCAAACCGAGGCGGGTAGGCTGAAATGGTCCACTAGCTAAGGATAATAAATTTCCATGTACGTGAAATATTTCCTGGTAGTTGAAAATAACAGTGCTTTATAATAATGTGAGAGGAGACTTCCAAATTCATATTTCAGAAAGCTTCAGTGTACATCTTTAGCTAGTCAGTATGTTCACTTCTAAATAAGTAAAATGCCATTTTCACTCACGACTTCATACACTGTAAGTGCATATCTGTTATCAGCTTAGTAAGTTTAGGACCCTATATTTTCACCTTTCTGATTAAAATATTTTTTAATCAGTTTATGAAGATGATTTTGTTGTGTCAGATACAACTGTATCTTACTCTGTGAAGGAATTTTGTTCCACTTGGACTTAATTTGCTCATTGCATAGCTATATTTTTAATATCTAGTATTTCCATACTTTAGATTTATGCAATGATGTTGCCATAGCAGGTTGCCAAAGCTGTAATTTTAAATAACTCCAATTATGTATTTTAATTTGGAGCATAAGTCTGTGATTTCAGCTTGGATGTTTCTTTTTTTCTTTTTCTTTTTTTCTTTAGCTTATGTCATTTTGATGTTACCATTGTATTTTACAGTATTTTTAAGTGTTTAGTTGTTGCTGTCTCGATAATTTACCACAGCTCCTAGTAACTCTTAACTTGGTGGGAGAAACAAATTAATATTTGATGACATGTAGAAGTTGGAAAATTAATTGAGCACACACGATTCTGTTCTCTGGCAATTGCCCTTCGATTCTAAATCTTTGGCGTCAATAGATTTTCTGGTACAATTATTGTTTCTAATTCACCAAGGTTAATGTTTCAAGTATTTACATTTCATTAATTTTGATAAAGTAAGGAATGTTATTATTTTTTGTCTCAGAAGAGGGGGAATTTTGACTCAAAGCCAAAATGTAAATGCCATGTTGAGATTTTGTTGCCTGTTTGCTTATTATATTTGAATTTAAAATGGCTAAGACATTGAAAAAGGGACTTGCTGCAATACGTGTTGGACGCAACTGAGTAAATTTTTATAAGAACTCTTACCATAGTTTTTGGTTGGACACACTTACATGTACAACTGTAGCTTCTGGATGTGCCCCAGTTTTTTCCACATAATTTTGTCAAGTTAACAAACTGACGAAAAGGCCGGATATACATGTACTGTACCTGTTTCAATTGGTAAAGTTGGCTTTTACTACATCAACACAGTTTCTAACTTTGCGACATGTATAATTACAGTCATTTCACCTTGTTTTTGTTTTTATAAACACAACAACAGAATGACACAGCTTGAAGAAAAAAGAGAGGAAGCTCACTTGTACTCAAGGACAAAAAACATTATTATTTTTCTAAAGCAGGGTTGGGGTTTTTAATTTTTAGGGCACTTGCTATCTGAGTGGTGGTGTTTAGATTATGACCACCTGGATACACTGTAGTGATGAATATTGGAAAATCACAGTTTTTTGAAAGGCTGAAATTGAGACTCTGCGTAATTCTTGTGTCTCAAAACATGAGTTGTTTCTGCTACAAGACAGGAGAATCAAGTTTTGAGTCTTGAGTTGAGACTGTCATTGTTGTGTCACAGGCTCTAATTCTTTTTAGGAGCGGGCACCTCTGAGCATGTCACATTCCACTTTTTCCTTTATTGACAAACAAACAAACCTGTCAGGACTGACTTACGATAATTTATATGTAATGTACCAACAGATGTTACAATGTCAAAGGACAGATTGAAATGTGCTATCAATACAGAGTACAAGAGACAATAGCATTTCAAGCTGTTCAGATGTATTGTAAGTGTACTTCAAACCTGAGAGAAATGTGGTCTACAGGTATATGAAAGTTATACATGTACATGCATGCAAGGTCCAGATGATCGTATTGATGCCTTTGTCAACATTTGTGAAAATTGGGACTCTCATGTAATTTTGTCTTGTTGACTAATGAATAATCCTCACTGGCTACAATGTAGTGATTGAAGTTACAGATAAGGATTTGAAAGGGCGGCTACTTAGATAACAGGCAATTTTGTCGTGGAAAGAGTTTGAAATGAATAAATCAGATGACATTACAAAGCAGCAGCTAAAGACGGTCTCTGGCGAATGAAGAGAAGGAATATGGTGTTGACAAAGTTAATGCACTCAAACAGAATAGCCAATCACATGACAGCACATTAAAGAAAAAAATACATCGCATTCCAAAGGGCAAAGTGACAAATCTCAGGAAGAATCAGCTAGAGAATCATGGAAAAAATGTGTCAGTTCTGTGAAAACCTGATGCTTCGTAGAACAAGACAATGTCCTGCTGGCCAACTCTGCCTCAATTGCAACAAGGAGAAATCACTTTCCGTCAGTCTGTGAGACAAAACATCCTTTTTTTCTTTCATAAAAACTGTACCTCATGATCAACTCTGGAGATTCTGAGTAAAATAAACAACTAACTTTTGCATATTCTTGCATATTAATTTGTGGAAAATGTCCTGTGGAAAACGCTGGAAATGGCATTTCCAAGACCCTAAATTTAAAAATTTTCTGGGGGAGCATGCCCCCAGACCCCACTAGGTTATGCCACCTTTGCCGCCACAACTTTTCTTCCATGCATGTGTGCATCTTCAAAATCTCATGCTACATGTATGCCCCTGTCATGGGACATGGTGACACCCAAGAAGAAGTAGTGAAGGATGCTATGACATTAATCTGAGGTGACTTCTCCAAAGAGCAAGAGAAATTAACTCGAAGCTGAACAAGTCCAAGGTCAATCTCAAACAAACAGAAGTGAGCTTCATGACCAGATCCTGGAAAAGTGAACACTTTTTAAGAGATGCCTAGGTGCACCTGTAAGAAAGAGCTGAGAAACTTTGTGGGCTTATTGAATTACCTTTCAAAGTTCCTGCCATGTCTTTCCATGATAGCTTTCAAGGAGGCAGCATGCCCAAGTGGTCGGTGCATCAGACTCAATTCAGTGGTCTCAGGTTTGAGTCCCACTCTGGCCACTTGCTGGATTTTTTCTTGGTCCTCCCAAGTTCAAATCCTCGGCCATGCTTGTAAACGTAGCCAACTGGGATGGCCGCCTCCTGCCAGTTGGGATTCTTAACCTTATTATGTCCATTTGAATTTGTTTGTTTCATTACCCCTAAAAAACCCCATAAGGGGAAAAGGTAATCAAGTATTAATTTTATAATATTATTTATAATTTATAGCTCATCCATTGACATAAAAGTATGCTCTTCTTGGAACAGTTACTATTAATTTTTGAGAAAGGTCATTGATAGGGTGTCAGGAAAGGACCAGATTTAAAATTTATTATTTAAATATTATTCTGTTGTTGTTGTTGTTGCTGTTTGCCACTCTTTACATCTTACATTGTACAACTGAAATGAGTCTTCTCTATTTTATTTATAGACAGCAAGATAACTATGAACTTGTGCGCAAACTGGGAAGGGGAAAATATAGTGAAGTCTTTGAAGCTATAAACATCACCAATGATGAAAAAGTAGTAGTTAAAATTTTAAAGGTTAGTGGTAAATAAATAATAATCAAGTCCTTAAATCTGCAGGAAGTAAGTGTTGCAAGAAATATCACAATAGCTATCTTTGGGAAAGAGTGGTAGCCTAAAATTAAGTACAAAGAGGTCATGTTTCATTGCTTTAATAGTGGGATAGAAGGGCCAGGATCAGCAAACTCACAATGCCATACCCTGCTGTCTTTTCCTGAAGCTGAAACAAGAGAATGTTGCAGTCTCCCCATACATGTAGAAAGTGACAATATTTCTACAGTGGAATTCAATGCACCCATTTCCTCAGACAATCCCATAACATAATGCTTATGCACCCTCTCTAGATTACCAGCTATCACTCTCTACTCCCTTCCAAAGTGAGGTATTCATGAACAGACCAATCAGAAGCAAGCACTTCATTATTTTCCATTGATTCACTCTTTGTGTCTATTTTATCTTTGAGACATAACATTAATTTTGTAATTATCTCACAGCCTGTTAAAAAGAAGAAAATCAAAAGGGAAATAAAAATCCTTGAAAACCTCAGAGGAGGACCCAATATCATTAATCTTCTGGATGTCGTCAAAGACCCTGTGGTATGTTTTTGCTGGCACTCTTTTTAGAATAAAGAAGTCATTCTTAGCAGTTTGTTAGCATGGACAACACTTAAACATGTAAGAAAGTTCTAAGGAAATAATGTTTCGACGTTTCGGTGACATCATGATGCCATTATTATCAAGGAATGGAAATAGATTCAGGTTCAAAAGGAATTAAAGTACTCTAAACTTACATGAATGAACACAGCTAGACAAAGACTTTACCACAGAGTGAATCTATTTGCACATTCAAAAGCATTTCCTTAACCCATTCGCTCCTGGAGATTTTGCCAAAAAACGCGTTTTGAAGCTAGTCGAGTGGTTTTCTGGTCACTGTCGTGCTATAAAGAGCTAAAACTTACCACAAACCGGTTTACAGGCCGTACACTTGGCGGCCTTCTGATCCAGATGCAAAATATCAGCTTGCGAAGTTCGGGCATGCGCAGAAAGCAAAATTTCGACAGTTTTTGGGTTTAAAAGTGACACAGCAGTCTTGACTTTTACTTTTCGCTTTCTCTCCTCCCTTCTTTTTACGCTTTTCTTGCCTCACTTTTTTTCTCTCTTGCTGGGCATTTAGTAGGCTTCATTTTGGTGGGAAGAGTTTTTAGGAAAGCTTTTAGGATCTTAGGATTAGGTGAAAGGAAAGGTAGGTGGGTAATGGAACAAGATTTTCATGGAGATTTTCAGGTCCTTGTCAGGTGGTTTTTTGCTTCTTTCTCCGGTGTCCTTGACTGAATTGTGCTCATTCTGGTATGGTTTGAAAGATCTCTTCACTCTGCACAAGTTAGCGAAGAAAGTTGTCCTTGACTGTTAAAACTGGTGACGTCACAAAGGGTAGAAAGGACCTGGATCCGCACGGGCGGTTACGGGCGGTTCAGGGGCGAATGGGTTAACAAGGCAGTCAAATTTGTTCTTGCCTTTCTTCAGCACTCTAACTGCCTCGTTAATGAAATGCTTTACATCAAACAATTAAGCCCACCTCTGAAAATGCAAACAGATTCACTCTTTGCTAAAGTCTTTATCTGGCTGTGTTCATTCATGCAAATTTAGAACGTTTTTGTTAAGTTTTTACATGTTTTTGTTTCTCCAAATCGTTATTAATGGACAACACTACATTATATTGTAAAAAGCCATTATAAAAGCTGGTTACTCAAGGCACAAAGCTGGATCTCACTGGAATCAAGCAGCAAGAGTTTTGAGTCAATAGTCAAGATTCTTTGCTTGATTCTGGATGCTCAATCCATGCAAGGATTAAGTACATGTATCAATAGTCACCTTACTTTTTGTACTAAAACAAAGCCCTTTTTTTATTCAAATTGTCATCTGCATTGTACTGTGATATATTTGATAACACCACATCTGCAACAGCTAGAGCCATGTGCTGAAATGCTGTCAGTAACAACAGTGCCACAGGCTCCAGGTGCATTTTTTTGGTCATTGCCAAAAACAGGAAAGAAAAAAATCAGCACTGGCTTTGTTTTGCATACCATGTACTGTACACCACACCACAGCCATTCTGTGCTGTTTATAAATATGTGTGTGGTGAATCTACATAATCAAGTGCAAAAAATGAGTATTACTGTCCCATGGACTATCAGAGCTTCGGAAATACTGAGAATTCTGCGAATCAGTGGTTTTATTACATGTTCATGTACACTGCAATGTACATTATATATTCTGCTATTAAAAGGCATCCCACCTTTCTACTATTATTTTTCTGTAAATCTGGCCGGGTGATTACTCACGTGTACTGCTCAACATGAATTATTTGCTTTTAATTTAGCAGTGCAATCACATAATTGTCATCATTTTTGTTACAGTCTAGAACACCTGCATTAGTGTTTGAGTATGTTAACAACACAGATTTTAAGGTGAGTTGTAGGCTTATTTTGTTTTTGTGTAAAAGGCTTGTGCCAATAATATCAGTCAGGGTGCAAAGAAAGTCAGTTTTGCAGCCTGCCATTTGAGCAAGCTATAGCTAGCATGTACTAGCCCATAACTCATTTCAACTGGCCCCAAAACCCTTTTTTATTAGCAGGATTGATTGCAATCCTTCTGTAATTTGAATTTCCCCAAAAAACAGCTCTTGCCCATCGGGCAAGTTAAGAACAGAAATCACTAGCCCGACAGCTAAATCCACTAACCCGGGGTATTTTCTTTGGTCTTTCTCACCTTGAATCATTTTTGTTTGGAAAATATTAATTTTACTTATTTTTGAAACTGTCTTTATTCACAGCAACTGTATCAGAAGTTTACTGATTTTGACATCAGATTTTACCTTTATGAGCTTTTGAAGGTTAGTTTTAACTTTCATTTTGGTAATGATGATTATTAGTTCAGCCCTGTCATAATAAGCTGGTACAATATGTAACTGGCAATTTTGCCAGTTTCAGTGGAATATTTGCCACCTAAGTGTAGTAATATTAAATAAAACCTTTACACAGTTAGGCCTTTGCTGCCTGCTACCCCTGTACTGTGGTTAACCTGCCTCGTATTGTAATTAAGTCAGAACCCTGGAAGAGTGAAAACATTAACTTCAGTTCTTATTTCTGACGCCAACCATCTCATTGCTTATTAAAAGGTCACTATTATCTTTGGTGAAAGATGTTGTACTGTTTACGTTAAAAGCGAAACCTCCCTATGAAGACTCCTGTAGGCCAGACACCTGGCCTCTATAGAGAGGAGAAGTGGGACATCACATTACCCTGGTAGCAACATTTCTGGATCACAACAATGGGGAGCTTAAACAACAATAACAGCAACAGCAAAAAAGAACGGCAAAAAAGCAGTCAGTTTATATTAGCAAAACCACAACTTGGCATGTGCATCACACTTTTTCGTACATTTCTTAACCGTCATTGCAAGTCTGTGACATGAAACTTACTCATTTCACTCGCCCGCTTTATGGAGTTGGTGAGCACACCAAAAAAGTTTCTTTTTCTTTTTCTAAACCAGATGTGTTCCTTTCAGGGTCAACCCCAGACAATTTCACCAAGATTTTACAAATTAAATAAAATTGAGTATAAACAGTGATGAAGTTTGAAACAGTGCAAATTGAATTTTTAAGTGATGTTTTTTGGTTTGTTGTCATCCAGAAATTTTGCTGCCATATCAATTGACATAATGAATTCTTGTCTCTTTTGAGGATAGTAGCCTTGGTCTCAAGAAACAAATTTTTATTTCATAAAAAAATATAATTCCTAGGTACCTTAAGCAGTACTTGTTGAAATACCACCACCATTATTTATTTTGTGGATACAATTTTACACGTATATTGTACACTATTGTTTGTGATTTGTATTCTATTTAGGTAATTATTTACTTGTTTATTTTCATTTTGTGTTGTCAGGCTCTTGACTACTGTCACAGTATGGGTATAATGCACAGAGATGTTAAGCCTCATAATGTCATGATTGATCATGACAACAGAAAGGTATGCCAAACTACATGTACATCAAGTAAGCCCAGTTCTTTTTACATTTTCAAAGTCCCTTCATTACTACAGAACAAAATATCTTGTCTATTCAGACTGATAGAAAGAAATGGTGGTGAGAATTCTGTTATGATAAGGCAAGCGCCTACAAGTAGCTGTTTGAAATAAAACACTTGATTCACAAATAAAAATTCACTTAGTACTAGATCTTTTTCATGGCCGTTGTCTCCATGCAACCCAACCTTCCCAATTCAACCATACTATACTGAGATACACATATTTCTATAATTAACTGGTCAGTGTTATATCGTGATTCATTGACAATCAGCAGTGATATCAGGCAATAACTAAGCTTAAAATGTCTTTTTTTTTCTGTTGTGTTATTCTCTTAGTTACGATTAATTGATTGGGGATTGGCAGAGTTTTATCACCCTGGTCAAGAATACAATGTTCGAGTGGCTTCCAGATATTTTAAAGGACCAGAATTACTAGTGGATCATCAGGTACCTTACTCGCCTTTAACCTGAGTTTTTTGTTATAATTATTATGGCTGAATCTGCAAGTGGGCTAGATGAAGCAAAGCCTGTGTTCTGGTTTGCTAACCAAGCAGTCAAGGTGTCACTATCTTATGCACAGAGGATTTCCTGCATCAGTCACTTAAGGAATTGAACATTGAAATTCCAGTGTTATAGCCACTCAGCTGAGCTGCCTCTAATAAAGTTTAATGCTGCAAGTACAGAACTTTTGCTTTAAATTGGTCTTCATGATGTTTGTTTTTTTTTCAAGGAGTATGACTACTCCCTTGACATGTGGAGTTTTGGCTGTATGTTGGCTAGTATGGTAAGCTTTTTATGAGTAAATTATCTGTATCTGCCAGCCTATTTAGTGATAAATCAAATTGCTTCACTGAAGCAGATGTTGCACCTGCTACATGTATGATTTAAGGTCGTTATTGTCACCTGAAACCAATATTGAAATTCAGCTATGACATACATGTCAATATATGCAAATGAATTCATAGCCTGCGTAGCAAGCGTTTCCAATCGAAAGTTAGAGCGGAAGCAAAAAAAAGGTTGAAGGGGGAGGGGGAGGGGAGAAGAGGAAACGCTTGCCCGCAAACCCCACGATTCTGGAAAACGCCCCTTGATATTTCACGGTTTGGTTCATTTGTAAATTGACAGCTCGTCAAAATACAAACATAACGAACAGATTACCCCTGGATTACCAGATTTGTAAAATTACTTTGTTCTCTAATAGAACACGTTGCAGGCGATTGCAAGAAGTGTAATAAAAAAGATTTACGATAAAAGAAAGTTAAAACTATGAGCGATTGCTGCTGAATTTCTTGTTTTTTATTGTGTAGCTTTATCTCGTCTGAAACCTTGTCAACACGTCAAAAAAGATTTGTCCGGAACAATTCACTCCTCCGGGTATACGTTTCGCAGAGCGGCTGCTATTCAGCCTGTGTCGAAACGTTCTCTACAATAGATGCCGCTAAATTTCCAATAAACAAAAAGAATCTTTTTATTACAAATCGCTTGTCCATGGCGGCTTTAGCTAGTGTCGAGTACCGATGGTCTGATTTATGTTGATGTTATCTCCAACAAAGAGTCCATTTTTGCCAGTCAGATCTGCACGCCGTCATTCTCAATAAATTGGCCTTCCCTAGTCTCCACTGCTCGATCTCCAATTATACTTTGAAGACTCTGACCTCATAAACCTTCGCACAAACACGATTCCAATAAATATCAGTCCAAAGCATTTGTAATCTGCGACCACAAATCAGATGAGACGAGATCTGTGACGCACGAAAACAAAGCATACCTGGTTTGATTGATGTTTTGAATGCTAAGTAATCAACACTACCCGCACCACGCCAATCAGAGGCTGCGTTCGTGGGCGAACGCAGTTTTTCAAAATCGTGGGGTTTGCTGGCAAGCGGTTCCTTCGTTCCCCTCCCCCTCCCCCGTCATTCATGTTTTTTTTGCTCTTGTCCCAGCTTTCTAGACGAAGATCGCGAGGAAACGCTTGCTACGCAGGCTAATGAATTCATTAGTTTCATTCTTTGGACTTGCATGTGTATTAACTAATCTATTCAACCTCCATGGTTCAAGTTGGGTTGACCTCCCTACCTCGGTTGGGTTCAGTGGCTTGTTTTATGCAATGTGGTGTTACTGGGGACCTGTGATTTCATTCAAAATAGCTGCAATACATCCGTAATTAAAAAATCAATTTGTTCCAAATCACGTAGAGGCTAACCACAATTTCTTCATGCTTAAGCTCTAAAACATGCTATAATTGATTGTACAGTGTAAATTACCATTCAATAGTGAGTTGACACTTAATGTTTGATCCTCAAGTGAGTTGAACATCAAGTGTCCACAAGTCAGGGATCAAGAATCAAGACATGCAATAATCATTGCTGTGTAACTTTATATGTAAAAAAATATGATCTTCTCCTTGCTAACTGTTAATTCATGTACCAATGTATTTTCTTGTTGTAGATTTTTAGAAAAGAGCCATTCTTTCATGGACATGACAACTATGATCAGGTTTGTGCAAAATAAGAGCAATGGCCTCTTTGTTAGAAGAGAATCAGTATGCGTTGGTGTTTAAGAGTTGAATGACAGCAGGATTGTGCTCTAACAGGGCACAGTGGCCCCTGGCACCTTACTTTCAGTCTTAGGTGACTTCGACATCCTCGCTTTTTCATAGAAATCCTCACTGGATACCCCAGATTTCTCAGATTGAGAGCACTTGGCTCCCTTCAATAGTCTAAGAGCATAGCCTTGATCTTTGTCTCCTGCATATTTACACGTACAACTGTAGTTACTAGTTTAGTAGTTCAGCTACAGGGGCTGAACCCATTCTAAGATGCATGTATGTCCTACATGTAATATTATTATTGCTTAACTTAGTCTCTTTTTATGATACAAAAGAATGTTGTTTTTTTGTGGTTTTCTTTGGCAAAATCTATTGCTGTGTAGTAATAGCAAGCTTACCGGGGGAATTTTTAACTTTATTTTCAGCTGGTCAGAATAGCCAAAGTGTTAGGAACAGATGAGCTCTTTGAGTATGTCGAGAAGTACCATATAGAATTAGACCCAAGATTCAACGACATCTTAGGAAGGTGAATTGCAAATGCTTTATGTTGTTTTGCACATCTCAAAGTATGTCAAACAATAGAAGAAAAGCAGGGGCGACCATTTTGTTCCTGAGTGTAATCATGTACAGGAAAGTCAAACAAATCAGTCATGTCCATTTTTTTGTTCTTTTCTTCTACCGCGGTTTGTTTAGTCTCCCTCACAGCCGTTTTTTTGTGTCATCACGCAACACTCCTCCCTACCATTGCTACCAATGAATGGTCACACCACAGGATTTCATCCATGTCAAAGTAACGCAACAACTTCTCCTCTCTATAGCGATGCTTTGCCCTCAGTTGTTGCACATGCACAGTAACTATTATACTTACATGAATTATAAGGATAATTTTTACCATCTAGCCTAACACGAGTAATGTCGTTGCAGACATTCAAGAAAGAGATGGGAGAGATTCACTCACTCAGAAAATGAACTTCTCGTAAGTCCAGAAGCAATCGACTTGCTGGACAAGCTCCTAAGATATGATATATCAGTAAGTTGAAACTTCTCATGACACACTATTTTGCGTTTGCGTGCACATGGTATGTGGTTACTTCTCTCACAATCACAACCAAAACCTCTAGTCCATAGCTAGACATACACTTGTCTGCCCTTCATGTGGGGAGATTTCATGTAAATGGTGTTATACTGTGAAAGCTGCGGAGTGAGAAACTCTCCTTTTGAACTGCAAGTTCTAGAAAGAAAAACGAGATAAGAATATAGCCAGGTATCAAGGAAAAATGTTTTTGACCCGACTTAGGGTTGAACTTGCGACCTCTGTAATAGATCTACCAGAGCTGTTACCCACTAGGCTATGAGGCTAGTTAGGAGCACTTCTTAGCATTAAGGTTTTCAAGTCCAAAACTAGGGATATATTAAATTCACACGAGTCCTACGCAGCTTACACAGTCACTTAATTCACCTCCATCTCTTCAGTCATTTCCATGACGCTCTACGAGGTGAACATGGGTCTCAATTAAGTTTCTTTAAATGGAGTTGACCATAATTATCCGTACATCTTTATTCATATTCAATATGTATTCATATTCACATTCATATTTTCTTCGACCAGTAAGATTAGTACGTGTTTAATGTCTTGTATTGTGTTTCCCTTGTAGGAGCGCCTCACAGCAAGAGAAGCCATGGAACACCCATATTTCTGTGAGTTGCAGTATTTTTCCACGTGCATGGACATTTTAACCTAGTTTCGTCTGGCACATACACTCTCTCTAGCTATTATAAGTGTAACTTTTACCATTCATGATTCTTTTAGTTGAAATACAATATCGCTTCGTTATAATGTTTACTGTTTATGCGCGAAAACCGAATTCATATGCGTTTTAAGCTACGACGAGGGCAAGAAAATGTCAAACAAACAATAGAGGTAAACATCGAAACAGTTCCTCCTTCTTTAACCCTTAAAACCTTAAGATCAAAATTTGAATTCTCATTTGTTGCCCTTATTCACTTCCTACAGAAGTAGTGGGGAGAAGTTGATAAAATATCAAGCATATTCATGTTGTGTGATCATGTCCGTAATTCTCTTGACCATTCTGTTTTACAAAGCATTGATATTGCAAGGAGAAATTTGATGCTGGTCACTCTTAGGGCTTAATTAGTTAAAGGGTTAAGTGACTGTTCACACTATACTGGATAGCTGTCACGAAAACCATACCGGATGGGGCTTCTGTTCACACAAGAACAATTGTGGCGGGCCGATTTCTGTGACGGAACGAAGCTGCCCCAAGCCGATCTCGAGAGTGGAGCGTCACATATCGGATAGGTTTTGTGCCATACGCTAATGCAGTGTGAACACCTATTCGGGCCCGTCACGGAAGTAAATCAGTGGGAGCGAGGATTGGGACCCACTGAGACGGAGGTAAATATTCAGGAACAGGGCGGATGAAGGTTGTACCCGAGAAGCAAAGTTTGAAGCAGTACAACGCCACTATATCAAAATATATCAGTCTAATTTTTTGTTATGTTATATAAAATTTATCCCCCTTTTTGTACACATTTTTAACTCCAATTCTTCACAATTCGAAAACGTTTGCTTTGCCGCTCTCTGCTAATCCACTATAAATCACCTTCCTCCTCCATAAGTTGTGAAAGTTTAATTTGAGTTTAAAACCGATTATGCGACCAACAAGTTTGACTTATAGGCATACAGATACAAGCATATGAAACTGTTTATTGATATTGTTATGAAACGAATTTATCTATTTAACATTGTAGCCTGAAATTACAGAAAGAAAATAGGATTTCCGGTTTGTAAAAAGGAACATTTCGCCGGCCTTCAAACGCACCGGAAGCGCGGAAAGAGCGCTCGTGCCAGTCCTACTTCGCATCGCACATTAAATAAAGAGCGGAGCGCTCGTTTCACCGCCCAACATTTATCCGCCCTGTTCAGGAGTGAGTACTGAAATACCGGCGCGATGTTCGATATGTGTGAACGACTTGTGTCGCTCCGGACAGTTGCTGTTCATACTATACGGTAATACCGGATAGCTTTTCGTGGCACCACTAGAAAAAAAAACTAGCTATAGCTATAATGAGAATATAGCCTTATACTTAGTGAGTGCGTTCTTCTCAATGGCTTATCTGCCCTTTTGTAGACCCAGTGGTGAAACAAGAACAGCAAAGACTGGCCTCAGGACAACAAGTGATCAGCTCTCCAGTTCCGATGCAGTCCAGTAACACCCCCACTCAACAGATTGGATCGCCCATTCCACCATCTTCATCTTCGCCCCTGCCAAATTCCACACCTGCATGAAAATTGTGTCGTTGTCACCGAAAACTTGTGGGATATGGGCGTTAACTCACAGCTTGTTTTATTACGGGAGAAGATGTCTGCTTCATTGCCTCCAGCTTCCGAAACGAAAATATTAAATCTCTATTTGTTGAACACTTTTTGATATTCCAGATTATTGTATTAAAAATATCCCGTGAAAATAGAGTCACCATTTTTTTTATAGACGTGCTGAAGGGCTTATTTGAAAGATCCCTTAGCAGGGAAAAATAGAAAAATTGTAGGATTACGAGACTGCAAGTAGCCTCAGATCCCATTTTCACGGATCCGAACAAATGTTTGAACGGACAAAAACTTGCAAGGATATTCGTCTTTCGTTTATACGGGACCCACAGAACTGTGCTAGTTTTTGAACGACAAACAATACTGCTATCTGTAAAAGAATTGCACGGTTCCATGCAAACGGGTTGCACAGGTAAAAAAAAAACTTCGTTTTGTTCGGACCTGCGTAATGAGGGTCTCATATGTTCTTTAACGTTAGTAGGGTAGCACGTGAGGTTCACGTGGGGAACGAAGGCCTCTTTGAACTCGCGTGCTGCCCAACTAAAAGAGACCACTTGCAGCCTACAAAGTGGTGCACTCCGGTATCAATGTGGTTACAGAAACTAAACTGTGTAAGTGGTTATTTTTAAATGAAAGTTTTCTTAGTATTTATCGGATTTGCCAGTCTTCAGTACTGGTCGCCTTTTGTTTTACCAGGCATGAAAATACTCTTGTTCCAGTATGAACGTCATAGAGAAATAGCTTGCTGTTTGTTGGCCGCCACAATTTTTTGGAAACGTTTAATTCATCGGGAATTTCGATTGCAGAGGTGTCTGCTTTTCTCTCTCATTTCTGAGCAATGTAAAGTTCGGTTTTATCGACAATAATGTATTGTGAATAGTTGTTCTGTTTTTGTTTTTTTTTGTGGCGCCCTAATGATACAGTTCGTAATGTGTTTCTGTGGTTTAACGGTGTAATTGTTTGGTTCTTTATGAATGTAATCAGTCATGTTTCTTTACACTTACAACTGTTTGTCGAACGGTCCTTCTTCACACGAGCTGTATTGTAGTACTCAAACCTTGTCCGTGAAGGGAAATGTTTTAAAGAATATGAGCAATAATAAATATAGAGTGTCGTTGTTGACTCTGATTATCGTTTTATTCTGTCGCCACGGGCTAGTCGCTCTCACGAACTTCACTGCCATGGTAATCAACGAACCTTCTCTATTGTGGCTACCTGACTCTTTAGAACAACTTTGAGTAGTGAGTGTGGTAATAAACAGTACTATGGCAGTAAAAATACTTAAACGAGTTCTCCGGTTTTAATTCATTAAAATTTCCGGATTTAGCGTACACAAGATTCCGGATTCATAGCTTACTCAAAAATTTCCACTTTGGAGAGCGGATTCAGGAAGTTGCGGATTCTGGCGCTTTCCATTTGTCAGAACTGGCCAACCGGACCAGTTATTTTGACAATGAAATCGGTTTTTTCCAAGGGTTTTTGCTGAAGAACCATCTCCTTCATACACACTATTTAGGATTTGACTGATCTAGCTGGATAGTTTTGAGTAATAGTAAAAATTCTCCTTACGAAAGGGAAGGGTCTGGCCGGCCAGTTGATACTTGTGGACGGAAGCCTCATCCGGAAAGAAAAAGTCGCGGATTCAAAAATATCAGGATACGTGTAGACGGGGCCTAAAATTAAGGGATGTGATACAACGATATGGATCACTTCAGCCGTGAAGTGGGCTGGTTCGCATGCGCATGTGCGGCGAAAGGCATTCACGCGCGCGAGATCTTCGCAAGTCCAGCATAAGTACAGTGAGGTGTGCATGCGCATTTATGCATCCTGTATCCCACGCGGCTAAGGAACATTTATTAACTTGCGTTTGTAATTGCGGTTGCTTTGTCCCGGTTCACACGGGTGACATGTCAACGCAAGCGTAAACGCAAGAAATGAAAGACTTTTTTTAAATTTTTTATTAATCTCTTTTCGATGCAAAAGCATTAAAGAGTAAGGGAGTAAAAGTAGACGTTTTCAATTCCTTTACTAGCGCTAGCGCATTTGCTTACGTTTTTGACTGCGGGTAATTCATAAATCCTGAGTGTTGCCAATGGTGCGGTCACAACTACACTAACCGCTCATCCTATTGGACGACGCATATTTGCCCGCACAGCGGAACGATTCATTTTAAGTGCCAATCTTTCATCCGTCTGTTGGTGACGTATCAAAAACATCTAGTATGTCCCTTTCCCATTGCCTACTTGGTCCTCCTCTTTCTTTTGTCCCCTCTACCTGATCTTTCCCAAGCCCTCACGTCTTTTCAATAGGCCAAAATACTTCAGCTTTTGTTCCTAAAGTTCTCTGATCTTCCACTTTGAGTTTCTCCCTAAATGACTTCTCACATCTCTACGGGAGGACGTTCGCGCTCCGTCTATGATTGTGCGATCACCAACTACGTAAGACGGAAAGGGAGTAGTCAACTGGCCTTTCCCAGGTTCTCAGATAATGGGGATGGTACGAAGAGAAGTGAGCAGAGAAAAGGCCACTAAGCAATATCCACACACCACAACACAATTTTATATCTTACGAATGATAATTCGTAATAACCGTTTATTCCTGCTGGGTCAACTCAGTCAAGGACAGACAATCAGAGCAAGCAAACACTCGCTCAAGCAGACTCGTAGCCAGTCGCTATTTATGTTTTTTTGGGGGTGAGAGAAGATTGTGGGTTAGGTTGAGGCGCGCGGGGTCTCATGGGAAGGTGCGAAGGAAAAATAGTGAATCTATTTTTTTCCTTCGTACCTTCCCATGAGACCCCGCGTGCCTCAACCTAACCCCCAATCTTCTCTCACCCTAAAAACACATAAATAGCGACTGGGTACGAGTCTGTCGCTCAAGTTGATTCGGCCGACCGGGAAAGGGACTTTTCTCGATAAAAAGGTGCCTAATAAACAGGCCGTGATGGAAACTTGAATTGCTCGTCCCTCCCATTACTTGACTTCACTTCGGTAAGAAAACATTTTTCCTATTCATAAGTGCCATGGGTTGAAGCATGTCCAGGCGCTTTCAGAGGTTGATTTTGTCGTTCTTTTTTCTTCTTCTGTTGTGTACAATTTGACGTGCAGCCTTCTTATCAGCCTTTACAGCTGTTTCCAAAGCAAACACCTAGTGCCAAATTCAAAATTTGTTGACTGATAAAATTTGGCTCAGATGCAGCTGAAACCACTCGAAAACAAACATAAAAATGAAAAAACAAACTATTGGAAAGAGTTAAAATTTCGTTAGGACGTCCTAAAATTTTCAATTTAAGTGAGTTAGACACTACCTATAAGGCTCAAGTCATTGTTATGACAATTTTTGGATACAAACTCAATTTAATGTTTTGTTTTGTTGTCGCTGTTGTTGTTGTTTTTTATTTTTTGGAGAAAATCAAGCTTTTAGAAACTCTGATGTAACTCTGTAACTGAGGGCGAACATTGACAGTTTCTCATGCAGTTTTGAAATGACTACCAGCTCGGCTATAATTATCAGCACAAGCACTTAGCTGAGCGGATGGTTATCACTTGTTTGACTCAACACTTCACACATTCCAGTACTTTGATTTCCGCCGAAAAGACACCCTCTAGTTTTCCGCTATATATATATTTTTTTCCGAGCCGAGAACGGGTCTGTGTATAACTGGAAAACGATTGAAATTTGGTAACAGAAATTCGAAACTATTTCATCTGATAATGTAATCGTAGAAACCGGAATTGTCATTAGAAAACAAATCATTTGACGTTTGAAAATGTATGTAAGTTAAAGACCAACAAAGCTGTTCAAATATTCGTGCTTTAAGTTCTATAACCTTCTTAAATCCATGCAAAGGCTCCAATACCAGCGGTAAATAATTGTTAGGTACGCACCCAGCAGGAGCCGTGAAAAACGAGCAACATGAGGTCCTTGTTAACAGTTTTGGTTTTCAAAATATTCCTCTACACTACAGGTATACTTCAAATCAACGATTGCAGTTCAATTTCTAAGTCTGTTGCTGAACACTTATAATGTTGCTGATTACTGAGTTAAGCCTTGAAAATATCTTATTAAACATGTTAGAATTATCGTCCATTCGTTAAGATGATTAAATTAAAATCGATGGTGGTGTTTCATTTCGTAATATGTTTTCCTTTTAGGTACGCTTAGGAATGTCGAAGGTATGTGTAAGTTTCCTAGTTCTGCTACTTTTAATATGACTTGACCGCACCCTAAGGGCGGCTATTTCCTGTTCGTAGACGGTCACTGCCACTTTCGAGACTGAGAACATTTTTGACCTGTTATTGAGAGTGTTTTTGTCAATAAAAGAAAGAAGATCGCAACCTAGGGTAGAACCTGGACCACGAAACGGGACCTGTCGTATCTTAATCTTTCTCCCTTATCTCTACACTACCATACCTATCCGCCAAAATTCCGAAAATATTTAGTACATTTAGAACATAAACTAGCAAACCGTCTTTCTTAACTGATACATCAAACAGCAGGTGATACCATTTAACGCGTAATTTAACTTGGGCTTCAAGTCGTTCTTTCTAAGACTATTCAAAAATGTATTATATATTTGTCTTATTTTAAACTCTACTGGTTTGATCCTTCGACTCTCAATTACAACTCAATTGTCAAGAAATTTACTGTTTGCATGAATTCAGTTTTCATTTTTTTGATGAACAGATGAATTGACGTATTTTCCGACATAAATCGATGAAATCGGTAAAAATCAAGATAAATCGATGAACGATACGAGTGTGTCATGGATTTCTACCGATTGTTCAATACAATCAATATCAATCAAATCAGATTCACCGACTTTTATCGATTTATTTTTTTCCATTGACTACTGCTGGTATATTACATCCATCATGACTAAAGGCTTGGTTGTCAATGGTGGCGTTTACGAAAGTGAAATAGGCGCCGGCAGTTCCACTGGATATTTAATTTGAAACCATCCACGTATGAACATGAACGACTTCGGCATTGAAAATCTTTCAGAAAAACGGCTAACTCGGCTGTTATGGATAAGAATGAAAATTTGTTATAATCAATATTAATGCAATGACGCCATTAACTTTGCTGTGCAAAATTTGAGGGGGGGGGGTTGGTGGAAAGGTGTCTTATGGGCAATGTAAAAGTGT